TTAATATATACCTATACCATATCATTATATTGTACACCTTAAACTTATGCAATATTTGTCAATTGTATCTCAGTAAAGCTGAGGAAGAAAAACCAGGCTAAGTGTATAAAGGGTATAAGGAGTATGTGTGTGTGCGTGCATGCTAGGCACATGTTGGTGCTTATGAGTGAGTATATTTTAGAGTGGTCAGGAGTATCTGAAAAAACGAAGGGAGAGAGTCAAGTGCATTGCAGGAGGAGGGAGCAGGTGCAAAGGCACTAAGTTAGGAATGAATTTATGTTTGAGGAATGACAATCTAATGTGAGAAAAGTGAAATACAGAGTTTCATGTAGAATCTTTTAAGCTGTATGAAGGAATTCAGATTTTATTTTATGTTTAGATAATTTTTAAAAAAGTAATAGGGCCCTTACCAGAGGAATAATGTAATTTACGTCTTAAGAAGGTCACTTAACTGCCATGTGAATAGACAGGTGAGTCATATTAGTAGGTATATAGATTTGGCTATGTATAGCAGTTTTTTAAATGATTTGAGAAGTTTATTTCTCTTTCGTGCAACAGTCTGGAGGTGTAGTTAATCCACCATTCTTAGGGTTTGTCATTTTTTTTTTTTGTATGGTTCAGAATGGCTTGTCATTTTTCTATTTTCAAAACAGTAGGGTAGAAGAAGGGCCAAAGAGGGACATGCCCCTGCCCTGGGTTGTTGGAAATATCATTTCCCTCTCACATTCTGTTGTCCATAACTTGCATTGCTGACCTAGTTTTGAGGGGAGCCGAGAGAGATCACCTTGCCCTGCCACAAGTCATATTCCCTTTTCTTTTATATATATTTATTTTATTTATATTTTTATTTCATTTATATTATTGCTATATGATATTCAATTATTTAGATACCAGTTTCTTTAATATCCTTTTATTGGATAAGTAGACTCTGAACTTTTTTCTTTATTGACTAACGTAATGAATGTTTTCTTATATTCTCAATAGTTTAAGTACTAGATTATGTGTACATATCCATTTCATGGTGTTCATTTATTATTGCTATGTTTATGCTATCCAAATTAGCACAGGAAAAAAGTACTGAAATAGGATTTTTGTATTTGGTTATTAGTAAACTCAAACATTCTATTTTATTTTTTCATAAGTTTTTATTATGGGATTATTGAATATGTACACAAAAGTAGACAATAATATAATGAATATCTTTGTACCCATCATCCAGCTTCTGTAATTATCAACTTTTAACCAATTTTGCTATACTCAAACCCCATCCACATTTTCTCCTGTATAATTTTGAAGCAAATCCCACACATCATATAATTTCATCTAAATATTTCAGTATGCAAATGCTCTTTCATATGGTTATTATCCAGTTGCATTAACTCTTTTACGAACGATCTGTTCACATCTGTGGCATTTTTTCCTTTATTTTCAATAATTTTACACATTGTTAGCATATTGTCCACATATAAAGGGGCATAAACAAAGGCCCAGTTTTCTATTTGGGCCTTAAGTTGGATAACGATAATAAGTTAAATTTTGGAAATGTTAAGTTTGAGATGCTTATGGAACACTCAGTGGGGTTGATATTAAAAGGCAGTTATATGCAGACTGCACTGCTCCTTTCATTTATCAAAATAAGGGAGATTGGTGAAGGCTTGGGAATGGATGATGACATTCAGGGAGACTTGGTAGAATGAAAAGCAAAAACTGCAAATCGATGCTTGTAAAATGTTTAAGGAATGGGCAAAGAAAAAGACATCCACAAAGAAGATGAAGAAGAAACATTTTGGGGAAAAAAAGTCTGAAGAGAGCAATGCCTAATGGGGGAAAGGTTAATTAACATTGTCACATTTAGCAGAGAGCTCAAGGAATGTGATAAACAAATATGTTTGTTGGATTTTATGATTAAGCAAATGAGAAAACATATTTTTTCTTTAATAGACACAGAACACAGTACTAGTGTAAGATAGACCTGAGTTTGAATTCTGGCTGCCACTTATCTTGATCTGTTATGTTTGAGAATTTACTAACTGAGCATTAGTTATACTACTTTTTAAGTAGGGGTAGTAATGTTTGTAAGACACTGCTGAGACATTTAGCTGGTAGAATGTATAGTACTTGTTTGTATTTTCATAAGTGGTAGTTGCTGATATCACATTGTGGTACTTCAGAGGCTGATCCAGGGTATCTGACTTAAATGATTTCTCTTGCACAAGTCCTGTATCTGTTGCTACTGACTTGCAATACTAATTAATATTAATGTGATAGTATAGTATAGATTTAAAGAATTGATTCAATTTTAGCTTTCATTGGCATATTTTAATTGCCAATTTTTTTAAAATGGTGAGACTGGAAAGTGATTTAGGTATAAGTTTCTGCCTAAAATTTTTATCTTAAAAATGGAGGAAACCAGAATCGACTTAAAAGAAGTCATTTTAAAGCACTTCTGCTACTCACAGATACTCTTAGTTTTTCTTTATCTGAGAACGTCTTCATTTCACCTTCATTCTTGACGGATATTTTTGCGAGATAGGAATTTTGAATTAATAACCCCTTTCTTTCAGCACCTTCACATGTGCTCTCACTGCTTCTGCCTTCCATGATTTCTGATGAGAAATCCAGTCACTTTAATTGTTTTTCTCCTAAGTGGAACATTGTTTTTCCTTGCCTGCTTTCAAGATTTTTTTGTTGTTAGTTTTTAGTAGTTGGCTGTGACATATCTGGGTATGGATTTCTTCGACTTTATGTAATTTAAGATTCATTGACCTTCCTGAAATTGTAAGTGTATGTCTTTCACCAAATTTGGGAAGTTTTATGCTGTTTCTTCAAATATGTTTTCTCTGCTCTCCTCCTTCTCTCCTTTTGGGACTTTGATGACATGAATGTTAGACCTTTTGATATTGTACCATTGGCTCTGTTCATTTATTTATTTTTTCTATAATTTTTCTCTGTTCATAGATTGAATAATTTCTGTCATCTTATCTTCAAGTTCACTTACTCTTTCCTCTGTTATCTCTATTTGCAGTTGTGCTCCTCTAGGGAGTTTTGGGTTTCATTTTGGTTATTGTATTTTTTTAAATAAACTTATTTATTTAAATTAGTTTCAAGTATACAGTACATTGGTTAGACAGCTATATTGTTCATAAAATGATCCCCCAATTGCTCCCTCTCTCCACGGCCCTCCACGTAGCCATCATATTAATGCTGACTGCATTCCCTCTGCAATGTTCCCCATCCCCGTGTCCAGCTGTCAACTCCTAATTTGTACTTCTTTAACCCTTCACCCCGTTCTTCCAGCCCCCAGCTACCCTCCCGTCTGTTGGTTATTGTATTTTTAGTCCTAAAATTTTATTTTGTTTCTCATGTGTGCACACGCACATGCACGCGTGCACACGCACATGCACGCGTGCTCACACACACACAATCTTGTTTCTATGCTGAAACTCTTATCTATTTTTTTCAAGAATATTCTTCCTGACTTCTTGAAGCATGGTTATAATAGCTGCTTTAAAATTTTGTTTGATAATTCCAACATCTGTGTCATCTTGGGTTTGCTGTGTGTAGGTTATCTTTTCCCTTGTGAGTTGTTGAAATTTTCCTTGTTCTTCATATGTCAAGTTATTTTGGATTGTGTATTAGTAATTTTGATGTTATATTATGATACTGTGTATTGTTTAAATCCTATGGGGAATGTTAATTTTTTTTTTTTTTTTGAGGGATGAGAGGATTTTTTTTTAAAGCAGGCATTTGACCTCGGTAGGTTCATGTCAAATTTCTACCTACCTCTACAATAAAATTCCAATGTCTAGTTTTCAGTCTTTGTAGAACTGTTCTGATGTGGTCCGTATGTGCGCCACCTAGTGGTTAATTTGGGAACCTGATAGAGGTAGTATCTTTATATGCATAGCTCTGGAGTGACTCTAGGAGTGTTTATAGAACTTCATGGTATCACTTTCTTGAGCTTTTTAATTTGTAAGTTCCTTAACACTTTCTGACTTCTAGAGACTCTTCTTCCTGTCTTGTGACTAGACAACTGAGGTTGCTATTTCTTTGTTTTGCCGCATACTTCCGCAACCGCATCTGCCTTTGTTGCCAAGCAACAGGATGGTAGAGAAAGAATATAAGCCGTGAGGATTCTCTTCACACTCAAGCGCCCAGAATGGTTCCACTTTCTTGGAGTTTTATGTCCCTCCTAGCCGTTGCTGGTATCATCACTGCCACAGCTTCTACTTTTGGATTGCATGGGGACAGGGGCCAAGGAAAGGGGGGAAAAATCCAGAGGATCCCCTGCCCCCTTTACTGCTCTTCAGACCAAAAACGAGAAGACTTTTCTTGGAGCCATTTCTGTCTGCACTTAGTGTGCAGTTCCGAGTTTGGACTGCAGTTGAGTCTAGGCTGAGTGGTCCCAGAGGAAGTAAAACTAAGAAACTCACTGCAGGGTTAGTGGTACTTCTAGATATGGTTTCCTCTCTCAAGCCACCTGCTACCATTTTCAGAGTCCTCAGATAGCTGCTCCATGCATTCCGTTCAGATTTTTAGTTGTACATATTCAGTGGGAGGACAGGCTAAACTGTGCTTATTAATTAATTTGTTTTGGTTAAGAATTTTTGATCATCCATGCTGTACTAGGCTTTGCTGGAAATGTGAAGATGGATAATGTGTAAGGTGCTTACAGGAGGTCCACAAGTAGACATGTGATATAGGTAGGGGTGAAGGCAGAAAATAAACATAATTTCATATTATGCATTAATAATGAATAATTGAGTTATTAATCTAATCCTTTTTGATCTATTTCTGCTTCAGGATTTGACTTGTTTATGACTAAAGGAGGGAAGATCCTGTTTATATTCCATTATTTTTTTTTTACTTTTTATCCCAAAATATAAGGAATGAAAAGTCTCTGGATATATATGTGCTGGATGAAATTAATACATACTTATAATAAGACTAAAAACTTAAAATAAGAAGAAATAATTTATTATTATATACTTGTTTCTCAGGTCTTAGAAAAATACCCCAATACACCCATGAGTCATAAAGAAATTCTTCAAGTTATCCAGAGAGAAGGACTAAAAGAAATCAGGTGAGTTATTTAAATATTATTAGTAATAATTATAATACTTGATTAGAGTATTTTATAGTATATAGCAGTATACTTTAGTCCCAGGGATTAATTATTTAGTAATAACTGCATTGTTAATTTTTGATTTATTCAGTTGTCAGGTTTTTGGATTTTTTAGTCATAGCACAGTTACAAACCCAAAAATGTTTAAAAAAATTCTTAGATGGTAGCTATTTCCACACCCATGCACTTTAATTCTTAGGAAGGCCTGGAGCCATCTTCAAGCCTTTATCTATCAATTCAGGCTTTTGGTTTAATAACCTTAGTCATTAGCAGATAAAAACTACTCTAGTGCAGGAAGAGTGCTAGAGGTAGACAGTCTAGGAAGAAATAACCTTGGCCAAAAAGAACAAAATGGGAAAGATATATAAAGAGTATATATTTCAAATAACAGTTTTATTATGTTCAAATACAGCACTTTGGGGTCAACTAATATAGGACCAAAGGCAAAACACCCTTTAATTTCTAAGAACCTTATTATATTACAATAGCACGCACACTGTTCATAATCAAGACTCTTTGTCATCAAGAAATGTTAAAATTATGTTCAGTGTGTGTTAAGGCAGAAGTCTGAGAGTCTACATTAGAGATATTTTTATTAAGAAAAAGGTTGCGGTGCTTGCAAACTGCTATTAGTTGTTCTTAACCAGGGGTAGTATTGTATAACACCCTTAGGGAAAGTGTTCAGAATTTGGGGGGCTATTTTTGATTGTCACAGTGACTGGAAAGGAGAGAGCATGGTGGCATTTAATGGGCAGGTAACAAGGATGCTCAGTGTCTTGCATTGTTCTGAACAGTTCTTCACATTGAAGGATTGTTCATTTCAGATGTCAGTAGTCTTCCTATGAGAAATAGTGAACTATGCTGATATATTTGTAAATGGACCAGAATACATTTTTTTGATAACTGGCTATTGCATGTTCTAGATTTTAATTCTCATTTTCTTTTCTTTAACATGAAATTCAATTTGAGATTTTTTTATTGGTATTTCTTTGCTAAGTTTTAAAAATTTTGTTCTGATTTGTGGCCAGATGTCAGTAGGCTGGGAATATATTAGGTTTGCTTTATTAATATAAGGCAATGAAGTATAAATTAGTGTATCTCACTTTACATAATGTACATCCCTGAAAATTTGTGTGAACATTCGTAAATTAAAACATTAAAATACATTTGAAGAATTAGCTTTTAAACATTTTTTGTAAATTCTATAAAAAATTTATCAATGACATTCTCAATTTTTCTTTGAATTAGATTGCATTTATTAGCTTAAAATTAAGGCACAATACCCATTTAATCACAGATCAATTGTATAAGGCGTTAGTGATTGTTGTGACTCTGAGGAACAAATTCTGCTAAGGTTTTCTAATATCATTTTATTAATACCGTTGGGTCTTATAGAATAGGAATGAGCTAGAGATTTCATAAAATTAGACTTGATATACACTAGGGAAATAGGCCAGGAAATCTTTTATGTCGAGATAAGACTCCATCCATCCCTTAGGTCAAAATGCTAATTGCGCAGGGTCACCCAGCTCTAACATAGTAAGGCTATGTGAGTTTAAACTTGTCATCATTTCTAGTGAGCAGGCAAGGACAGTAAATAAAGATTAGTAAATAAAGAACAGAAAAAAGAAGAGGAACTTATTTTAAAAAGTAGGGAGATGGTAGAATCATGAAAAATAGCTTCTGGCTTCTCTCAGTGACAGCAGTTTATAAGTCCTTGTTCTTGGTTAAACTCTTGTTGTTGCGGTGATGCCATTATGTGACCACAAAGCAGTTTTTCAAAGTTGCCAGTGACTTATATTTTGTCAACTCCATGGGACGTTTAGTTCATGCCTCTCTTACTTCTCAGCATTATTTAACACAGCTGACTGTTTTCTTCTTGAAACTCTTTTGTTACCTGAAGTGCCAATAAACACTCCTGCTTTCCTTCCTTCCTCTTTAAGCTTTCCTTCTCAGTTTTTTTGCTCATTACCCTCTCTCCAGCTAAAGTACATTTTTGTTCATTCTCATATCATTTTTAGTTTTTTCCCAAATATGTAGGGAAGCTACTTCCCACCTCAGCCTCTTTGTACATGCTGACCCTTTAGCAAGGAATGTGCTTTCCCTTACTTAACTCTTATTTTTCAGGTGTCAGTTCGAATATGTCTTTGTCAGTGAACGTTGACTGACTTTCTGGTCTAGGTCACATTTTCCTTTTTTAGTTTATTATAGTGTTCTGTGTTCTTTCTTCATAGCTCTTGAGATTTAAAATTATTTATTTTTGTGATCTTAAAAAAGTCATATAACTTCTCTGTCACTTACATTAAACTAGCTCCATGAGGTCAGTGACACTTTGCTCTTCTCCCACTTACCCTGTAGTGGTTGGCACATAACAAATATTGAAAACCTACTTGTTAATGTATGAAGTGTCAGTGGTCGGAACTTCACATTCACATGTACTTATAGCTTATCTTCGTGCTGCTGTGTTGTGTCAGATGATAGTCTTAAAATCTTTGAAGTTTTAGACAGATTATAGAATGAAGTAGGTACTGTGTTTATTGAAGAATGTGCTGCTTCTTGCAGTTTTATTTTTCTCAGTCCTCTCGATACATGGATTTCAGCTCTTTTTCTCTTTGTAGTTTTCCCTCTGCTTCCCCATTTTGAAGAATCTCACTTAATTTTGATTATTCTATATTATATTGTTTTATTTTACACTTTATTTAAGTTGAAGCAGCTCAAATGTCCATCAGCAGATGAGTGGATAAATAAAATTTGGTATATACATTCAATGGAACATTATTCAGCCTTAAAAATGAAATTCTGATATGTGCTTCATTTTGTGAACCTTAAAAACATGCCAAGTGAAATAAGCCAGACACAAAAGGACAAATATTATACAGTTCCACCTAGATGAGATACTTAGAATAGGCAAACTTATAGAGATAGAAAGTGGAATAGAAGTTACCAGGGGCTGAGAGTAGAGGAGACTATGGAGTTGTTGTTTAATTGGTACAGAATTTTTGGGAGGATGATAAAAAAAGTTCTGGAAATGGATAGTGGTAATGCTTGCACATTTTGAATGTACCTAATGCCACTGAATTGTGCACTTAAAAATGGTTAAAATGGTAACCTGTATGTTATGTATATTTTACCACAACCAACTAATAAAAAGATATTAAAAACAAATTGATTGGCTGAGAAAGATTGAGAATACTAGTCCCTTTAAAAAGTTAGGTGAGATTGAAGATCATTTACCCAAAGTATGGAATTCCGAATGAATTAACTAGAAACATGTATTCTTTTAAAAAATATTATAAGATTTAAATTAAATACTCTTTTAGAACAATATTTTAGAAAACAGAGAAAAAAAGGTCCTCAGATTTTTCCTCTGACAATAACTTATGATTTTGTGTATTCTGTTATGTTTTTCTTTTTATTTACATCTAAGTGCACCCATTTTGAAGATAGTTTAGAGTTTCCCATAGAAGTCATAAAGAAGAAAGAAAGAAGATACAGATTGTGTCAGGTGAAAG